TTTTGGCGGGTCATTACACTACCCCCCTCTCAAGAGCGAGGTCCCTTCGAGCGAGTAACTCATTCAGAGTCGGCACAAAAGGCATCGTAGGCATAGATCAGAAAGAGGGCGTTAGTGAGACCGAACGGGGTGAGTTTCGCAGCGAACTTAGCGGTCTGTCCATCAGCAACCTGTCGTTCATATGCGTTCACTACACGTGGGGCGCTCTTGAGCAGCTCTTTCCGGTCGATGCAGAAGAATTCGTTCAACGGGTGATAGAGGAAGTGGACCTTGTATTGTTTGTTCCTTCCTCTACCCTCGTGAGAAACGATCCTGTCGATCTCATGGCCGCCATCGATAGGGCGAGGTATCATAGGGTCACGGTAGGGAAAAGTCTCATCATCAATATGCGGAAACAGTTTGGAGGCGTGGAAGACTGGGTACGTGCGCAGATGAGGCGGCAAGTCAATCACAAACGAAGGGCCAAAATCATCCCCAATCACTTTCATAATCTGCCAAGGGCCGTAGTATAGTGGAAGAAGCTTCCGTGACACGCCCTCCTCATCAGAAAATTCAGACATCTTAACCCAAACGTAGTCCCCGACCTTAAATTTCACTTCTTTGCGCAGCTTGTTGGCATGTTTGATCATGGCATGCTGGCGCTTGTTCATGGCTGCCGTAACAACTTTGAGCAAGCGTGCGTACTTGGCATTGTAGCCAGGCATGCCGGACATCAGACCAGGTGACCGTTCCGGGAACAGGTAGGAGACGGGATTACGCATCGGCCATCCATACTGCAACTGATTTGGTGTCACACCGGTTGCAGAATGGATGGAGTTGTTGTACAGTCCTTTTACCTTATGCAACTCCTTATCCCATGTGTTCTGGTCTGGCACAATYAACGCGCGCAGCAGTTGGGTGACGGTCTGGTTGATTTCCTCGGCCAATCCATTGGCTTGTGGGTGTCGACCAGACGTCATGTTTAGTGTGATGTCATAGACTTGGGCAGTGAAGTCCTTCCAGTCCTTGCTGATGAACCTAGTGTCCCGATCACTCACAAGAGTTTTCGGGGGCCCATACTGCAGGATATACTGCTGGTGAAATTATTCGATCACCAGTTCAGTTGGGGCATGAGGAGGTAAGGGAATCAGATTCAGAAATTTAGAGAAGCGATCCACAATGACCATGACTTGTGAATTCCCGGCCGCACTCACCTTTCCCCTGTCCGTGAAATAGATAGAGACTGATTCCCCGGGAACATCAGGGATTGGGAGGGGTCTCAGGAGGCCATAAGGCTTATGCCTGTGGACCTTAATTCTTTGAAAGACTTGACATTCAGCAATGAACTTCTGAGCAGATCTCTTCATCCCCGGCCTGTCAAACTGTTGGAGAAGACTTCCGTAAGTCTTCTCAAAGCCAAAGTGTCCACTCCGACCATGTGCCAGATCCAAGAAATGAGTCCGGAGAGGCGCATGGTTAGGAACACACAAGCGATCGAATTTCCCATACCGGCGGAATACAAGACCATCGCATTCATGAAAATCAGGCTGGCTGTTAGGGTCAGCCTTGAGCTGCTCAAGGATAGGACTCAGGTCCGGATCCTTGGCGGTGTGTTCGGCGAGATCCTCCTTCAGTTGCGTGCGGAGGTCGTATGAATCCACCAGGCAAGTCAAGTACTCGGGATGGCGGGATAGAGCATCAGCAACGCGATTATAGCAGTCTTTCTTATGCTTCAAATCAAAGTTGAAAACATCAATATCATGCAACCAGCGGGTCAGCGTAGGAGAAAGATCAGTTTGTGTCTTAATCCACTGCAAGGT